GTCATAACTTTCAGCATAAGTTTGTAAGTGGATTTAAAAATTAAGAATCTGCAATATCTTATTCACTTGAAAACCAAGTCCCCACCCCTTTTTTTATCAATATCTCAAAAAATGTTTAGCCAGGTACTCAATTATTAGATCTGCCTGAACGAACTTGTTTCTCATTTCTTGATATAATTGGAAAGTTTTTACCCTTGGTACTGTTATTGTAGTTGTTACTGTTGTATGAATGTTATATTGAACAGTAATATTAAATGGAAACCTTTACAAATTCAAGGAATATGTAAAACAGGCGAGTACCAGAAGGCCAAGCAACTGACTTCATGGTGACTAAGCAATTATGAAATACCTGTGTCAAGGAAGTAGTGAATAAAGGTACTGTAGATACATGTATGCAACTGCAAGTAACTAAAGAAAATAGATACAAACCTGATTGGCTCAGTAGGCCTGCACTTGCATTATGGTATGAAGTCATGCATTATATAGGTGGACCATAGTAGGGGTTAGGTTGGCACTGGCAAAATGCAAGTCTCACTGGGTAGTGCTGTTTACCCCAAAGAGGGAAGTGCAGATGGTCAACATAGAATGTGTAACAAGTCTTCCCTCCCCTTCTTTTCACTTTGAAAATCAATCTCTGTAGTTTCTTGCACTGACCTTTATTTCTTTTGTTTAAGCATTATTTACTGCTTTTCTTTTTATAACTACATAGTCGTAATTTGAAATTTGATGCATCTGGAATCTTGCCTGAAACACCTAGGTTATGAGACTGTTGCCCGGTTTAATATTTTAACTGTATTAGGAATGGGGAAAAGTTGCTAATGCATAGAAAATCAATAGGTAACAATTTATTATTTTCAATATTGTATACTTGGATGTTTGGTATTCATTACCCGGTTGGAACCTGTTGCCATTAGGGCATTTGCATACATAGAAATCACAATGCAGGTGGACTACTTGTTTATATTGGTAATAATTTGATGATAGGAAGTATAGGTACTTCATATACACAGTAGAAATCTTTAGCTTCAACCCTCTGCATCGAGCATGTTTGTTTGGTTCTTGGCTAATCATGAGACTTACGAAACTTTGATTATCAGTGGGTGAAATTTGGCTGTGTAAAATGGTGCTTGAATAATACAGCAGGACTGTATGTACAGATTAATAGATATTTTGATTCATGTTTGAATTTGTTTTTGGATTGGTGTATATACTTCAGGATTTATTAAAGGGATTTATATAGATTTTTTTTGTTGGTAACAAGTTGACCTGAGAATTGTTTTATTTACTTGTTCAATTATATTATTGATACTAATATAGAAATATGCAAAACATGAAGTACATGGGTAATATCTTTTTCAGATGCCACAGTTTTGCAACGGCAAAATCACCAAGCAGTCGGCTGATCAGCCCGATGAGTTCGAAACCTCCATCGGGCAGACTCTGCTCGACCTGGAGATGAACTCTGAGCTGAAGGCTCAACTCCGTGAACTTACCATTACCGGCGCCACACAAATTGATGTTGGTGACAAAAAGGTTGGTTGAAGGTTTATATGTAGTAAGTTTAATAAGTTCTGGATATATGCCTGTTCCATATTATAGCTGGGTTGTAGAGGTGTACAAGAATAACTTTAATCAATATTTTGAAGAAAAAAAAAATTCTCTTTTCAGTGCATTGCTATCTTTGTGCCAGTTCCCCTGTTGAAGGCATTCCAGCGAGTTCAGCAGCGTCTTGTACGTGAGCTGGAAAAGAAATTCAGTGGAAAGCATGTTGTTGTTATTGCCCAACGCCGTGTTGTGGCCAAGCCCTCACGTAAGATGAAGAACCCTCCCAAGCAGAAGAGGCCCAGGAGGTAAGGATTTTTAACTGTTATTTTATTTATTTTCTACATGGAATAAAAAAAAAAAAAAAATCCCCTCACCATATTGTTTTTGCATGATGACTTTATTTTTAGCTTGATCCACTGATTGCTACAATATATCCTCTAAGAAGAACTGAAAAACCCATGCAAAGAATAGCAGGAAAATGAACCCAACACACCAGATAATCTTCAAAAAATTTATTTTATTTTAACAGCCGTACTCTTACTGCTGTCCATGAAGCTATTTTGGAGGATCTGGTCTACCCCGCTGAGATTGTAGGCAAGAGGATTCGTATCCGTCTCGATGGAACCCGTCTCATCAAGGTCCATCTTGATAAGGCCCAGCAAACTAACATTGAACATAAGGTATGGGAGAGTTCCTTTTCAATGGAAGGTTTTGGAATACTGAATGTCATGAGAATCAAAAGTATTTTAGAAATGTTTCCCATGTTTGTAAGCTTTGTAATTTTTAAGCTTTTTGAGGTAGTGTAATCCATGATGACAAATTTATTTCGTGAGTCCTGAGTGTATATCTCTAAGAAGAACTGAATTGGAGTTTTCTTCACAAAGCATTAGTTGTTTGTGTATATATGATTAAGATGCGATTATATATTTCAGGTTGAAACATTTGCTGCTGTCTACAAGAAATTGACTGGCAAGGTGGTGACCTTTGAGTTCCGTGAAGCCTATTTGTAAATGCAGTGAATAAAGAAAAAAAAAAAATAGAAAAGTGTTTTACATCCCTTTTTTTGAGAACTGGATGACTATATATGTTAACTGATGTACAGTCTGGGACTAAAGTCCTCAGAAAAGTTTTGCGTGTTTTGTTTATTACCCAGAGGGAGGGAGGGCAGAGTTGGGTTGTAGGGATTCATTACATTGCTTCAAACGTGCGTTTGAATCGGAGATCTATAGATGTGTGATGACTACACAGCGATTTTAGTGCCATCTCTGGGCAATAAACAAAACACGCAAAACATTTCCAAGGACTTTAGTCCCTGACTGTACCAGTTAGGAAAAATTTCTTTTGATATGTCTTAATGCCATGTTAGAGGAAGTAAATTTTACAATATAGATATCTTACCTTTTGATTTATATTTTTAATGTGTACTGTGTGCCATTTCTTTGATAATGAATAGATTGTATAAAATGTCTAGATATTTTAGATATTTGATTCATTAGTATAATATGTATGGTGTACCTTTTCTGGGGTTTTATGAGCATCATTGTAGGTGATTTGAAGTATTTCAAAATACTAGAAGAGGATTATTAATGCCAACTACTTATTGCAATAGTTTGTTGTGGATATGTTTAACTGTAAGTATCTTCAAAAGGTCATTGGTTCTGTTTTTGATGTATGGTTTCTCCATAATTATACTTTGTTATTGGGTAAAATTTTATAAAATCATTTTTAGATTAAAAATACTTTTCATGCATCCTATTGTTGTCCTATTCATGTTTCCTGTTTTAGTCTTTCAGTTTCATCTGCACCTGTTGTCAGGATGGAAGATGGATTTAGTGAAGTGGATTGACGGTTGGGGAGTGTATGTGGACAAAGGTTGACGTATACAAGTCTGAATGTTCCTCGGCAGTGAGAGTGAAACCCAATTTTTGCTTCAAGCACTTCAAAGGTATGTCTTCAGTTTGTACATATCAATCCTAGAAGAAAAAAATGACGTTTTTAAAGTTGTTCCCTCCATTGTTGATACTTTTTCCAAATATTATATCTGCTTTGGAACCTTTTGAAACACACATTTAAGGAATAGTGCACTGGTCTTGTGAAATTTCTCTAACAGGTTGAAATACTTTGGAAACGGGGTGGGGGGACATAATGTCAAGTGGATGAGACTAAGAGGAATTTTAAACAAATTTTAAAGACGGTTTATGTACTTTGATGTGCAGGTTTTGATTGAATGTGTAACAATGAGGAATTAATACAAAATACTAGCCATGTGATGACTATTTTTTTCACGAGTCCCTGAGTGGTATACTCTAAGAAGAACTGATGTTTGATATTCATGTGACATTCACCAATATTATTGGAGAAAATAATACAAGTGATTTATTTCAGGGTGGAGATTGTTACGGATGGAAGAGATTGGCAGGATCTACTTTTTGCAAATCCTTTAGTACTGCTGATTGTAAGTATGAACATATATGATCATATAATCCATCCAGAAATTATTATATAAAATAAGAAAAATGTTGAGGGAGGGAGAAATGTTCTTAGGCACTCTTTTGAAGTGTAGGGATGAGGAGGTTCTTACATAACTCAAAATAGTCTCATTATGTAATAATTTTGGTTTTAACCAAAAATATTCATGCAAATATACAAGTTTTTGGATCCATAATCATGATGACCATTTCATTACATGAATGCTGTGAATGTAATACTCTAAGAAGAACTGAGACATTTAAACTGATGTAATTTCCAAACCAAGAAATGTCATTTACTGAAGAACCTTTTTTTTTCTTTTCAGGTCTGTTTATATATGCAGATACCAGGAAGACTGACTACAGTTCTTAATGAAGAACTGTAATGGTGTCTGTTCGTGATTATCATTCCAGTAAAGAAATTTTCTGCTGTAGTTTAAGCCCTGTAATAAATTTATGCTGTGACTTGTATCTATTTTACTTAATCCTATCAAAACATTTCTAAAAGCAAAATCAGGGGTATATTAAGCATTTTGGAATAGTCATTTATTGCTAGTTTCTCCTAAATATGCTTGGACTGCAAACAAATCTTTAGTTGCTTCAGCTGAAAATATTCAAAATGCCCTTTACTTGATTTGAAATCTGAATTTGCTTGCTTTGCTCTAAAATTTCAACCTGTGAAGGTTCACCTGTTAACAAGAGCCAACTTAATCAGACAACTTAATGAGCATTGCTTATGGGGTTAGGATATCGTACTATATGACCTGAGGAAAATGTTCATTTTCGCCATTTTTGGCATATCCAGCAGCTTAAAAACTCCTTGTGCTTAGATGGTAAGACTTAATGTACAAAATCATTAGAAGGCTCATGCTGCCTGTTTATACAGGCGGGCAACTGTGAAGGTGACGTTACAAGCGAGACATTTTATTTACCGAAGAGTTTGCCCACAGGTGACATCATCTTTGAAGCCCGTCTGTTTGGACTGGC